GAGCCCAGAGACACGGGCTGCAGGCTTCAGCCCTTCTCACGGCTCCCCTCCCTCCTTCCCTTCCTCCCTCCCTCCCTCCCTCCATCCCTCAAGCACTACCCGCTTGCCTGCAGCTAGATCCCCTTGTTCATTGGGTAGACTGGTCAGCACTCAAGTCTTGGCTGTACCCCTCCGTCCCAGAGGAAAGCTGAGGCATCTGCTTAGCGTCTCTGAGTGTCAGTCTCCTAGCGAGAGCTTCTCCACAGCTACCCCACCCCTGGCCGCCTCGGGGGCTGCCTCCCGTTCCTGCAGCACCCAGCACCTCTTTCTGTCCCAGCCCTAACACATGCCACGGAAAGGTCTCCCCAGCTGGCAGCTCACAGTCGGAGCTAGCCAACAGGTGCTGGTGGGGATTTGTCATATAAGTCATTGTCTGTGGCTCCAGGAATCTAGAATCCAACGCTCTGCTGCTGCTGCCCTCCCAGAGACAATGGACGAGGTTCTCGCTCCGGTCCAGGGGAGGCTGCACCACCCTGCAGGCAAGTCCAGCTCTAGCCTAGAACCAGAGATGGAAACAAGGGCTCCTGACTCTGTCCACCCCTCCTTCCCCACCCAGTTGGGCCCAACAGGGGGATGAAGGGAGGTTGGGTGCAGGGTGGCTCTCCAGAAAACCCCACGGTCACTCCCACACCTGCCATTTGCCATGGCTCTCCGAAGACTCTGACGGTGTCCTTTTGCATAGCCCTGTGAAGTGCACAGTCACGCCCCAGCTCTGCAGACACTGGAGGGTCTCTAGTGGAATTCTTGCTGTCCAGGGGGAGAGCAGGCTAGCCTCCCAGCCCTGCCCTTTGTCTCATGCACAGCCTCCGTCTGCCTCTCTGTCAGGGCTTGTGGGCAGCCGTGCTGCCAAGCGAGCTCCAGACTAGAAAGAAAGGCCTTGCTCACAGGAGCAAATGGAGGGAGAGGAAGAGAGAGTGGACCACAGCCTGGCCCACCAAGCCCTGAGGATGATATTCCTGCTCAGAGCAGCCAAAGCACAGAGAGGACCATAGGGTTGGCCCCACTATGAGACAAGACGTCCCTCACTGACCCATAGCGCTACGGGGTGACACTGGAGACACAGTGAGGGAATTGTGCCCGATCTGACCC